CTCTCCTCAGCTATGGGATAAATAGCAAAGTAAATAGTGTTGTTTGTCACCCTGAGTTTAAGAGAAGGAATACACTAAACTAAGTAAACAATAAGAAGCCATTTCACTATTTTTCTCAAGAAATCAAGAAATCATGGCAATTCACAGATAATAAAGAAAAGGAAAGTATGAAGCCATAATTACGTGCTTCTTGAAAGAACATATGTCATAATAATAAAAATACATAATAATTAAGTACAATTATTTGTTTACTTTTGCATGAACAGTTCTTAAAGACTACATCCGCAACCAATAAAGAGTTTAGTGGCAGCCGGTCTAGGAAAAGGATTGCTCTGAATTTAAAACCTTAGAAAAGCTAACAGGAAAGTACTCCGCTATATTTCCCAACGTTATGGCAATTCACATATAATAAAGAAAATGAATTCTTTTGAGTCATGATCACCTACATTCTTAAAGGATATGGCAATTTTTTTTTAATTGCTTTTAGTGTAATACGCAAATAGTAGCGAACCACCATCATTACCTTCATTGGTGAGATGTAAGTTTTACTCGAACAGCTTCTCACGAAAATACTACTTTGTGGAACCGATTCCCAAGAGGATGTTTCCCGATCACTACAATTTAACCTGTTCTGGTCTAGGGTTAACCGTTATCTTCCCTGGATATATCCATAAACTGTGTCTCTTATTTCTTACTCCGTAACCCTCTAACTCGAGTGGCCCTTGGGCCTTATACATGGTGAACATTATTGTAAAAAAAAAGAATGAAATTTAAAGGAAAAAGTCACACTATTAAATATTCATTCTATCGAGAAATAAGTCAATTTAATCAAATCTATGAGAGGCACTAAAAACGTGGTTTATATTTACACATTGTATTGCAGTTAATTTGCTCATACTGCAAAAGCTCGCAACTAAAAGGCTCCCTCAGAGTATCTTGCCCTAGAGCCACCCACTACTGCAACGACTGCAGTACATGTGGTGCTCCCGACCCTAATGCGAACATAATCATGACTACTATTGTTAAAAGATGTCGACATAAAAGTAATTGCGCAATTACTGTGTACTTATTTAAAAAAATTCTTAATTTCTTGCATTTTTCTTGTTTATGAACGATACTTTCTATTAACTGCAAATGACGGAAATTTCTGTCGTAACCCGGGGATCAAATTAAACAAATAAAATTCTATTCAGCATTGACTAATTATGACATCACTAGAAGAATAATGAGGAAAATTTGTGACTCAGGAAAGTGTTGCACATACAAAAAGTATCTAAATGTACACATTGCATTATGTGGATATTACAATGAATTTACTTACGACAATAAAGTTTTATGTTACAATCTAAGGTTTCATTTAATGCCAAGCAGCTAAGATTTGTCTCCCTTGGCTGCAACTTCCTGTAGAGAAATGACGGTCATAAAGAAAGAATTCTGCCTTTTAAAGTTAGTAATTAAAAATATCTGGAGAAAGGTCACACGAAACAAAAAAACTAAAAAGCAAGGTGATCGCATTACTTATTAAGGATATATTCTGTTCTTATAGTAATACAAGCCGTGTTCGTTTTGAGTGGCATCGATTAATGCCGTGTGATACCATAACAATGGAATATTTCATTAGTAAGTAGCGACACTGTGGTAAGGTTATATCCCTTTAAACGTTATTTTTAGTAGATACTTTTATATTTGAGTACTAGACGCTCCGTTTATTTATTAAAATTAAACAGTATATTTATTTATTTATTTTCAATTTTCATCTACTTGCCTGAACATTTGAGAAATCTTAAAGAAAAAAATATGCGTTACTCCATGGCTGAGTCGGTTAAGGCATGTCGGATTTCCCTCTGTCCAGAGGTTCGAATCCTGCCGGAGAACGCATACTTTTCTTTATTAAGATTTCTCGAATATTCAGGCTGGTAGAAGAAAATAAATAAATATACTGCTTAATAAATAAATGAAGCGTCTACTCTACTCAAATATGAATATCCTGTATCCACTAAAAATAACGTTTAAAGTGATAAAAAAAATCTGCCGGATTGATAAAATCTATAACTTTAGAATGTTAACATAATTAGACTATATAGTTAGAATTTGGGAGGGAATCCATTGTTATACTAGCATTAGACATTAAAACTGGTTTTAAAAAGCACACACAAAAACAGAGAGTAAGACGCTTCTGAAGTTAGCCATCTTTGAATTTCCTCCTTAAAACAGGGAAGAGCGCATAGCATATGGTGTAGAGATGTACGGTTTCAAATTTGATCAAAGGTCATAAATCATTATATTGTTAACTGTAACACACATAAGAAATTCAGCTATATCTAACGAAGCTTCCGCCATTTCAACAAATACATCGACAGATTAAATTCTTTTCCAAATTCAGCCGAAGGCAAAGATGAAAATAATTGTTTGTTCTCGTGCCAATCCTGATGGATGTCAATGTCAACGATTTTGATTCTATCGTATCGCTGAAATAACACAGAAGCAAAGAGAAAAGATTTCGCCTTTTTAATAATTACTGCCCAAACAAATTCAAGAGGGGAGATCAATAAGTACTTCTCATTTGGCAATGCGGCGAAACGCGAACTAGCATTTAAATTAAAAGCAACCAGATAATGGCGATGTGGGTGGATAGGGTTAATAAATGCAATAATAAGGTCGAAAGTATATAAAAACGGTAGGCAGAATTAAAAAAAAATTGTTCTAACGTACCTTTAAGTTTCAAATACTCGTGCCGAGACGATTATCCTTTTCTGAAGAAAAATCCATTCGAGACATCCTTATTCTAACCATCCCTTTCATTAAGTATTCAGGAAATTTACTCTCACCCTTTAAAAAATTAGGCTGAAAATATTCTAGGACAAAAGCGTTACATTTGAATATTTAAAACAGGTGGTTGAAATAAGCATGTCTCGAGTGGATTTTTCTAAACAAAAAATCGCTACCGGTTTATTTAACGCTTCCACTAATTTGGTATACCTAAGGTTTTAAAATGAATTTTCATAAATGAAAAAGCATTCTTGAAGCTTTCATTTTAGCTTTAAATTGTTTGGTATATACCTAAGGTTTTAAAATGAATTTTCATAAATGAAAAAGCATTCTTGAAGCTTTCATTTTAACTTTAAAAAATTGTTTGGTATATACCTAAGGTTTTTAAATGAATTTTCATAAATGAAAAAGCATTCTTGAAGCTTTCATTTTAGCTTTAAAAAATTGTTTGGTATATACCTAAGGTTTTAAAATGAATTTTCATAAATGAAAAAGCATTCTTGAAGCTTTCATTTTAGCTTTAATTGAAAGCTGAGGTGTTAAAATTACTATTTCCTGTAAGCAAAATACTCTGGAGTATTTCAAACAGAAATAATATTGATAGGAATCTTTTTTTTCTAAAATAACTGATTAGCGCCCTTTTTAGACGTCTTTCATCGCAATGTAATTCTCTGTATAAAATTTTTTCAAAAAATAAAATATACTTTTCTGAAACTTTATTTGAGGAATATTATCTCATAAGGTATAATTAATCTGGTTTGAAAAAAAATAGTATTAACTTTAAGTTGAAAATAACAGAGAAATGGATTTTTAAAACAAACAGTAGCGGTGATGTACGTGCTTTTTATCGTCCGTCAATCACTTCACAAGCTTTGATAAGATGTTGACAGTTTTTTTCTTCTGGCTTTATCTGTTAAAACATAATTTAAGAAAATGACGAGAGAACGGTTTTTTATATAATTTTTAAGTACTCATCAATATTAAAAATGTTGGATACATTCTCCGTAATCTAATTTGGGGAATGTTGACTTTAAATTTACTATCATGATCGATCTTATTTTCTGATAATGTCGTGTAAAGTCACTTAGACTTTCAAAATCGACACATTTATACAAATAAAAAAAATTAAAAATTATTTTTAAAATCTTAATGCGTGATGATTTGTATTAATTTCGCTCAGTAAATATAGTCTTCACTTAATAATTTTACGAGAACAAAGATTTTGAAACATTATAAATTATTTTTAAATTACTATAATTAAATAAAAATTAAAACAATTCTTGTAAAAATTCATTATTCATCGAATTTTTTTTCTTCTGACTATAATGTCCTTTTACATATATATATCATTTATAAAAACAATCAAAAATTTGTTTGATTAATTAGATAGTTTTATTGCAGTTTTTATTTTACTACTCGAAACAGATTTTCGCGAAAGCAGTAAATGTTTGAAAAAAATAGATGATTTACATTCTCCAAAGAGTCCTGTGTTTAACTAAGAAAACAAATTTGGAAGATGGAATTTAATATCTAGAAATTTCATGAAATTAAGTGAGGGTAACAGACATAAAAAAGAAATATTTTTTACCAAGATTTTCTAAAAATAATAATTTCAAAAAGAAATTTATTCATTTGTGAATATGTCCTGAAAGTTCCATTAAATTTCGACAATTATTTGATTTTTGCAAGAATTTCCAAATCAATGTGTTGTTATTTTACTGGAAAAAAGCGCTAAAATTTCCATAGATCTGTTACACCATTGACGCATAAAAAAACAAGATTTTTAACCAAAATTTCAAACGTATTAGGAAGGAATCAATTTTTTTTAATAATTAAAAATACTTTAGTCTTTCCTCTTAAAACATTTTGACGATAAACCTTTGTTTTTATTAAGTTTGTGGCCTTTTTCCATTATGCTATGCTGTTTTTTCAGCGAAAAAGTGAAGGTATCTAAATAAAAAAAAAGTAACTGCCTGTGAGTACACGAAATGGTCACCATTTTGATTAAAAAATTTTTTCTAATCTATTTTTTAATTATCAATGTAGCCTAAAGGGAAAAACTTCCTTACTCAACAGCATGTTTAAAAGACCTTCTTATATCTATGATCGTCAAATGAAATGTTGCTCTTTGAATACAAACCAGATTGAACGATTTTGTTTTTTACAGCTTATCAACCCTTTGTAGGTTATTTTTAAAACAGAAATAGAATTCAGATTATTTAGAAAGTTGCTTACAGTGCCCTGTGTTCCCAAGCGCCCCCCCCCATCTAAGTACTGACCGGGACCGACACTGCTTAATTTCCGTAATCGAACGAGAACCGGTGTTTTCAGCGTAATTTGACAGTGATCTCAGATTTAACGAAGCTTAACTTCAGTGAAACATCATGAATATATTTTGAAGATACATGTTCACACATTTTATGAATCCTGATTAAGGTGCATTGGGTTTTGATTTGTGATAACTAGCCTTACCAACTCGACGCTCAAACTGAATCATCAGATTTTCACGTTTTTTAAAGCCTCGTAGAGGGAACTGTTCAGCTGCTCAGAACTCCATCTGGCACCTAAGAAAGAGTACATACGAAACTGAAACATTAGTAACTATCTGGTAAGAAGAGTTTTACAGATATTTTGATAAATACTTAGTGCCCTTGTCCCTAGACAAGCAAGCAGTTAAGATTTTCCTGTGATTTTTTTTTTCATTTTTCGTCTTTGTACAATATATCAACATGTAGTGTTCCTCTTTTGAGTCATTGATGAAAATTTCGATTATCCGTTTTGTTAATAATCTGACATTGTGCCAAACTTGTTCGAACGAGTTGACTAATACAAGTGAATTCGAGCCTCACTTGATGGCTCATAATTGTGGCAAAACTAAGTTTATTAAATAACAAGTTAAAAAATAAACTTAACTAGTAAATTATTTTCAAATTGTACTTCTTGTAGGGTTCGAAATGAAATCCACACATAAATAGTTTATCATCTGCCTATATTTCTGCGATAATATATTGTAATTATTTACACTATTTACATTGTTCAGGCTGTTGTCCTCATCTTTGTTGCCACATTTACGACATTTCGGCCGTTGTACGCCCCGGCCTACTTCAGGTGATTGGAATTTCGAACTGAACACTTTATTTCGTCCAACGGGGTAGATTTCTCTAGTTCCACATGCCACACCTTTTCCGGATGTCTCAGTTATCTCCCTTTAACTCAACTCTCCAAGTGTTTTTTTCAGTAAAGCCGTAACACGAGAGGAAATAAAAAAAAATCAGGCGTAGCTGATCACATATGGAGGGAAAATAACAACAAAAATTTTAATATGAGCTCTGGTAAAAAAAATGATTAATGAGACATTATTCATACAATAATGGACCAGTGGATAAAAGCGTTGGTTGGACTTGACCCAAAGAGTTGTGAGTTCAATACCTGGCTACTGCAGAGGTGAACATGAATGTGGCAACAAAGATGAGGACAACAGTCCAAACAATGCAAATAGTGTAAATAATAAAAAGTTTATTACAACTACTAAATCTGTTGGAAAATTTTCTATTATTACTTTATGGTTTTATTTAGTTCTGGGTATAACGATAAACTACATCCGGCAGCAAGGCCTCTGATCGGGAGATTGTAATTTTTTATTTTGGTAAGGGTAGTTTTATTTATAACAAAAACAAATGAAATAATACAACAGAACCTTTTTTCCGTTTTGAATAGCAAAAAAAAAATTACATTTCTTTACGGTAGTGCGTAGTGATTTTCTGCAAGGAAAGTCTGTAAAAGAAGTAAATAGGCCAAATTTTCTGATTACGCCTGCGTAGGTACTACGCAGTGAATTAGTAATCATGATGGCAGTAATGGGGGACGAATGACCAACAAGAAGTCCGATTTTTTCTTATCGATAACTCCCAAATTATGAAGGTTTCTTCATAATTTAATTGTTAATTCGAGTTCAGCATGTGCATTTGCACGGAATTATGACGATTTTGGAAAAATTTTAAGGGATATTAGCGCTCGGGAAACAAAACCAAAATTTACCAAACAAATTACCATTACATTTTCTGTAGTTGAAGCCATACAATTTCGTTCAAAATATACTTAGTTGAAACCATAAAACTGTGCTCAAAATATTCAGATTTCGGCATTAAATAACCCATAAAGGTTGATATGCCGCAAAACAAAATCAATAAAAAAAAACATGATTTATTTAAAATTTCAAATCATCAATAATTTTTAAAAAATCAAATTAATAATGGTTATCAAATATATATTTCAATTTCATTCACGTAGACTTCACTGAGGAGTATGAGACTCCGGCTCTCAACACGTTATGTGTTGCTACTGTGGTTTTCATAACCAATAGAGCTTACGGTCATATAGCGTTGAAACATTGGTTCTTGTACGATCATCGAAGTTAAGCAACATCGAGCCGATGGGTGACCGCTTGGGAATACCAGGTGCTGTAAGCTTGGATGTACGAATCGTGCAGCGGACAACGGCTCGGAATTGGAAATTGGAGAGCCGAGTTTCAATTCTAGTCAGGTTCGTTATACTCACAAATGCGCAAATATCATTTGATAACGGTATGGATCTCAAAATATTTTCTGGTTTTAAATAACCTGCAAAAGTCGTAAAATATATCAGTCAAGCAATGTAGCAAGTAGGCTTTTTTATGCGATGGAATTGATAGCCCTATGCTCAACCGGTTTTGAATTCAAAGTTGTTTTTTTCTCGTTGCCAATCATGCACGAAGAACCCAGTCTGCCTTACTAGAGATGGGTTCATATTTTTCCCAATGGTATTTGAAACAAATTTGACAGGATTCGAGCTCGGACCGACGATTTCTTATTCCAAGCCGTTAACCTGCATATCCTAACGCGCACACGCGAGTATGTGTGTGTGTGTGTGTGTGTGTGTGTGTGTGTGAGAGAGAGAGAGAGAGAGAGAGAGAGATATCCAACCTCTGCCAAAAAACTGACAGTGGATGTAAGCTATTTACTCAACTGTAATTGTCTGAATTGTCATGAGAGTGTGGTTTGCCCACTCACCTACTCTCTTCTCCGTCAACCCTCGTGGGATATCAGCAACAAGATGTTTTTGTCGAGATAGCTAACAGAACATAAGGACGTGTTTGTTTAGTTGAATGATTGATTTTACGACACGTCAACACATTACTTTGGGTTATTCGATGTCGAAGTCATGTTTTGGGGACCCAGTGAGGATCGAATTCACTCCTCAGTTTTAATAGTCAACCAGACTATCCTCGCCAGCCATTAATGACTAGCTAGACTAGTCTGGTTAGTCATTACTGCTGATTAGTGAGTTCGGTCCTCACTGAGTGTCTCAAACAAAATGAGACATTTAAACAACCTAATAAGAGTTGACATGTAAAATCAACCAGCCATTACCCGACGCCGAGCCGCCCCAAGGGTATGGATTCTCATATCTTTCTCAAAGGCATTATTTCTAAGTGAGAACAAGCAGCCTCGGCCCAAATTATATATATATATATATATATATATATATATATATATATATATATAGAGAGAGAGAGAGAGAGAGAGAGAGAGAGATAATGAGACAGAAATACCTCCCACATTTTAAAGGTTGACAAAAAGACCAACGTGGGAGGTATTTCTGCCACACCCTATTATATGCGTTCTTAAAAAGACATACTGTGATTATAAATGAGACGCATTTATCTGGTAGGTGGGTGTGCATTATGGGTGCATGTATAATAATATCTGGTGCTATAGAAAAAGAGTCCCAAAAGTGTGACTATGAAGTTATTAAACTTAAAATTTAGACGACAACTTTCTGATGTCCTCGCTTATCAAGTAAAAATTTATGTTTTGAAATTCAATGAAATCAATTATTGTTCCATATTAACAAATTTAAACGAAGACATTTAGCTTCTTAATCTTAACTCTAAATTAAATTCTGGAAGATTTTGATATTTTCTAATTAGTTTACTAGAGTGCTTGAGCTTGCAGTCAATTTGTAAAACAAGGAACAACAACAACAATTTAAGTCCATATATTTTATTTAATCAATTTAGCAACAACTGATTGCATTTTTAAAATAAAGATTATCAAATGATGATACCCTAAGAAATTGAAACTGCGTTCGTTCATTTATTGAATTCTATTTCAAAAATTTGACGAGGGACCAAGAAAGAAATTACAAATCACTCTTGGACTGTGTTGTCTTTTCTTTTTTATCCTATTTCTACAAATGAGAAACATTTTTGACACAAACAAAAAATAAGCATTTTATTCAAAGTATATAAGGCTACGTGCAATAAAACACGTGTTTAAACTTGTTAATGCTAAATAAATACTATATTTGTAAAGAAAGACTAATAATAATGCTGTTCAGTGTTCATGCTCATTTGCTAAAGTACTATTTCTAATTTAATAAAAAAAATCAAAAACAATAGTTTTTAAGTGGAATATTGATTTAGAGAGCTAGTCACGGTAAGTTCGATTCTCACTGAGTGCCCCGTATTTACGGCTTTGTGCCAAGACTAAGGTCAGTTTGCTAAATAACATTTGAACGCATGGATAATGAATGAAAATAATTCTCTTTGACTTTAAACAACAACAAAAATCTTGCCGTAGTTCATGATCTGCACCTGTTTGTTATGGATACTACACAATCCAAAGGTATTCCTAAGTGACTTCTATCTTTAAATAAAAATAAAAAAGCCAATATTGTTTATTACTTTAAATAAGCAATGAAATAAAATAAATAATTCAACAACTACTTTACTAAAAGAAAACTTCATAGTCCATATGGATTCTCTATTTGAAACTCAAAACCACCGCTCGGTTTTAATCTTGAGGACAAAGATGCGCATATGAACAAAAATAAGTAAAAATAAAATAAAAAGTAAGAAAGAAGAACAATTAAGAAATACCCTAGAAAAAATCAATTGCATTTGAGCAAGCGTTATTCCTATTTCACTTAAAGGTTCCACATGCTACGATTGCGATTTAAATGTCTGTGTAGAAAGAGCAAAGAAAAAGCAGAGCAGCATTGTACATCGCCTAGGAGTGCGCGAAAAACTGAGCTATTTTATTCTACAAATAAATACAATATACATGTCGTGCATGTCGAAAGAAAGAAAGAATAAAGCACAATATATTGGGGGGGGGGAAAAAGAAGCGGCAAATGAATTTAAGATGAATAATAATTTAAAACGAGAATCAATTCATTAACAAACACTTCCTGGTTTTTCGATTTTGTGGAGAGACAGACAAAAACTGAGTTGAACTGTTTTGTTTTTTTGGTTTTTTTAAATAACCAAATTAAATTACTTATTTTAACAATTGGTAGAAAATACTTTTATTCATTCAGTTGTTGATAAAACATGCAGTAGTAGACAACAGCTGGGTGAATTTTAGTCGCACCGTCAGAATATGATAAAAAAAAGAAAAAGCTGAGTCAAAAACAGAAAAATAGACTTAATGTACGCAAAATCTTTCGTTCGGGTTTCGATTTTTAGCGGAAATTTGTAATGAATTCAAAATGAAATTTACAAAACATTACTACACAGTGAGAGCTTGGTGTAGGAAGTGGAGTTTTGGTTTTACATACCATTCCTAGTTAAATATGAGATCAATATTTATTCACTGGGTGCTCCACTATTGTAGCCCGTATGCCAGGCTAACTTTAGCTTAGTAAATAAATAATATTATTAATATACATAGCCAGTTAAAATAGTTTCTAACAAAATAAGTTACCTAACCTTAAAAAGAACATCTTGAAAAAAAAAGTAAAAGTAAAAGTAGGAATTGGATTGAGAAAAAAAATTGAAGATACATTATTACTTTTAGTACTCACAAATTGACGTTTTTACACCAGATGTGTTATTATTGCTTTGTTAACTGAATAGACAATAAAGATGATGTGAAATCAAGTCAGTAATTGTAAGTATTGAAACATCAGAAGGTTCAAAATGTAGCTAGATGAATATTATGTTTATTTTCCAGATGACTATGATTCGCATTATTATTGAACACTCGTGAGAGACTCAGAATTCAAAGGTGATGAATAACTTACAAGTGTTCAAAAGTGAAAAGAAAACTTTATGGGTGCGGGGAAGAATAAAAAAAGAAAAAAAGAAGAAGGCTTTTTTAGTCTTTTAGGGATTTAGAGAGTATTATTTTAATTTAATCAATACCAAATGCAAGTATCCCTTTTTTTTAAATGGGGGAGAGAACGAAGTAATGAAAATCAAAAAGCAAAAGTAAACTGTAAACAAAAAACAATATTCTCTTACTTAGCATATGATGCGTTCGAATTTCATTTCTTTTTTTAGTTTTCTACAGTTTAGGGTTTTTTTCTTTCTTGTTAATTCTATCAAACGCAGAAAATACTTTACAAAGACAATAATCTCCACAAAGAAACAAAGATAAATATTGCCGTTGTTTTCACACACACAAATTTTATTAAAACCACTTGATCTTGGATTCTTGAAGAATGACATAATTTTTATTTATTTTGGTGTGAGCGTATGTTTTTTTTTTTTTTTTTTAAATTTCAACTTTGTTTTCTACTGAAATTCAAAGTCTGTTGCATAAAACGCACTAATAAACGTGAAGTACTTGCGATATTTGCATTTTAAATCAATTTTAAAAAGTCTTCGAGAAAACGAACAGCAAAAAACTGCAAAAGCAAGTTTTTATTGAAAGAAAATTAAAAACGTATATGAATGAAGTGAACCTTTGCTTATTTTCATCAGAGATAATGATTATAATTTTTCTTTTCTTTTTACTTTTTTGGGGCCTACTCTAATTCAATTCAACTAATTCTACTTCAAAAGTCGTAGAGTTCAACAGGTGTTACGAATAACAACAGTTGCACAGAGCGCATCTTAACATGCATGCTATGCAACAAAGAAGTGATGTTGTTTTTCTTTTGTGTGTCTTTTTTTAAACTCAAATACAAAAATATCTTTTTGGGATAAAGTTCTATGCAAAATTAAAAAAAAAATAAATAAATAAATAAAATGAAAAATGAAAAAAATAAATTTATTTCAGTTTATTCAGCACTATGTATTCATGGTATACGAATTTTTGTTTACACTTTTTTCTTTACACTACACTACACAGTCACATATTCATGCACATGTTTTTAATTTGTTTTTCTTTCATTTTCAGTTTCCATGTGCTCATAAAGTAAAGAAAGAATAAAGATGAACATACCGAAAGAAGAATAAATGTATTTTTTTTATTTTACTACTAAGACTTCTTCAGCTATTTTTTTTTTTAACGAACACCAAATTAAGAATGTTACAATAATTGTCTTAAAGAAACTAAAAAAACACGACTAGTATACGCACGAGCATGCATTCACAGGGGAACTGCACAAACAATACATCGGGTGTAGGCGTACTCACCCCCATCTAGTTGAACTGTATAGTGATCGTGCGGCTCGACCGGCCCCACAATCAAACTGAAAAAAAAGACGAACGCAAGTAGGAGAAAGTGATAAGGATGCAGCATCCATGACGGGTGACGGCTGCTGGGTCCACCAGCGGGTAGATGTCTGCCACCCTGGGCTGTGTTGCTAGCAGACAGCATGCTGGTGCTATCTACAAACACACGCCACAGCCAGGTCGGGTGGTTGCCACCTCGACTTTTTTTGACAACTTGTTTTTTGTTTGTTTGTGTGTGGTGTTTTAAAATGAAGTCGATTTTAAAACTGCGGTACTTTTTGGACGTGTAGTGTTAGTTGATTGATAGTTGCTAATTTCTTTGTTGTGTTTTGGTTTTCTTTTTTTTTTTCTTTTTTTTCTTTTCTTTTTTTTTTTTTTTTTTTTTTGTAGTTATAGATTTTAATTTACTTGTAAATTCTTCTTTGGGGGTCCGTTCCCACCCGGTGTGCCAGCGCTGCTACTGATAATAATTGGTAATATTGCTGGTGCTTGCTGTACGGTAAGCTAGTGCCAGCCGCTCCGTTTTGTCTTCTATCTTCTTGTGTTGTAAACGTCTTCTTCACATACTGTTCCATCAGTGATGTGGGGGAATACACGGAAATTGAAAGCGGGAGGAGGAAAGACGACAAAAAGCTAACACATTGAGAGGGGAATTGGGGAAGAGGAGAGAACAGAATAGGAAATCGTGAGGGGGTGCCGGTGAGAAAGAGAGATGATGCAAAGGAGGAGGAGGAGGGAAGTTGACATTAAGAAGATAAACCGAGAGAGTAGTTAATAAAAGAACTGAATGAAGAGCGAACAGTTAAAGAGCGAGGAGGAGAATATCGTTACTCAGTAAATAAGTAGAGAGAGGGTGAAGAGATCTGATAGAAAGAGCACGAGGAGGAAAAAGAAGAGAACACAAAGAAATCATACTTTCTCTCTCTATTTCTTTTTCCCTCTCTCTCTCTCTCTTTCACTTACTTTTAAAGAGAAAATTAAGGAAAAGAGGGGAGAGTCAATAGTAAGAAAAATAAAGGGCGAGGAATTATGAGATGGAGACTTATTTTTTTTTTTAAGTGAGTGTTAATGAGAATTTATATATTTTTCATATGGAATAAAAGCGAGAGAGATAACAGAACAAGATAAAAAGAATGCGAAAAGAATTGTCAATTAAGAAAGAAAGAAATGAGGATGAGGCGGAATCGATTCTATAGCAAAGACGTGAGAAGGAAGAAGAGAACGATCATTTATTTTTATTTACTCATTCGTTTAAAAAAGTAAATGAAGAAGGTAAAGAAAGATTAAAAAGCGAATTTGAGATAAATAAATGGAAAAATGAATTGAAGAGGAACATGAAGAATTATAAAAAATAAAATGAAGAAAGAGAGAGAGAGAGAGAGAGAGAGAGTGTGTGTGTGTGTGTGTGTGTGTGTGTGTGCAGAGTTAATTGCAAGTCAGTTAAGAAAAAAGATAAGAGAATTAATTGCAAAAAAAGTAAACGAGGAGGAATGAGGATCAGTTGCCGGAATAAAAAGAAAGAGAGGGGGATGAGAAGGAAAGTTAATAAAAGTATATAAGAAGAAGAGCGAGAAATAGAGTCGATAGCAGAAATTGAATTGGCGGTAGGTTAGAAGAGAGGGAGGAAATGATCGGTAGGTAAAGGAAGTAGAAAGTAAAAGTAGCAGCAACAGCGACAAGCGGATTAAAAAGGGAGTAGGAGACAAGTTTTAAGAGTAGGAGTAGACTTTCTGTCAAATTGTTTTCATGTATATGAATGTGGGTGAGAAAAACGGCTTTGTTGTTGTTGTTGTCGTAGAGGATGCGCGCGCTCACGTAGGTGGAAGAATTGTGTTGTTAGTATATGTATGTATCAGAAAACGGAAGTATATAACTAACTAATCTATCTACTGAAATATACAGATGACGCATTGCATTCATTGCTTTGTCTGTTTTCAAGGTGTCAGTTTTAATAAGGTTTTCTGCATGAGAGAGAGAGAGAGAGAGAGAGAGAGAGAGAGAGAGAGTAAAAACTATGAAGAGGTGCTGAAAAGTTCTTGACCTGACCAAGAAACCTTTCTAAAAGAAATTCTGATAATCATTTTTGGTGTGTGTATGTGGCGGGGGAATAAGATTTTCCGAAGCTGAGAACTTTTCAGCATCTCATCATAGATCTCTAAGCTAAATCTAGAAGCATGGAATAGAAGAAGAAAGAGAAGAAGAAAAAGAAACTAATAAATAAAAAGTTGCTGAGTAAAAAAAGAAAAGAAAAGAAATCAATTGAATATTAACTCTACCAGACAGATAGAAAGATAGATAGATAGATAGATAGATAGATAGATAGATAGATAGATAGATAGATAGATAGATAGATAGATAATCTGTCAAAAAATAATTAAAAGATGGATGAAGTTGAATGAATACCTAAAACAAAAAAGACAAGAAAATAGGTGCAAATAAATAATTATATATATATATATATATATATATATATATATATATATATATATATTTATTTCACCCTAAGTAAGACAATAAAGCCACTAAGACACTGGGGGGAGAATGAGTGAAATAATATAAAAAAGAAAAACGTTATCAAAGAAAGAGAGTTAAAAAAAGGAATTAAGAAGATAGAATATAACTATTGACATTGCATGGAAATATAAAAATATATATTTGTGAACACATGCATGAATGCACATTAAAAAAATCATTGCATATATATATATATATAGAGAGAGAGAGAGAGAAAGGGAGAGGGGGAATTAATAAAAGGTTTGTCACTTAAATGATTGATATTACCTTTAGCATTCTGACCAGAGTTTTGTAGACAGAACCTCAGGGAATTAATCCGTTCACTCGTCAGGAGATATCAGCAAATGACTATTTATACATCTTAATTTTTCTTTTTTGCATTCCCTTTTCATTGGTGTAAATTTTTTTTCATAGTGCATGTGTGTGTGTGTGTGTTTGTGTGTGTGTGCATGTATGGATATATTCATGTGTGGCCATCTGCATAAATGTGCTATATTTATGGGATAACGTGCTCAATATCAGAGATAGAGCGTAAGTAAATATAAAAGTGAACATTGAAGTCAACACTCAGAGGTGACAGGCTGTTTCATGCTAGATGCAAATGTCAGGCCACTTTTATATATATATATATATATATATATATAGATAGATAGATAGATAGATAGATAGATAGATAGATAGGTAAATAGATAGATACACACACACACACACAGGGTGCGATGGGTAAATTGTCACCATTTTATATTTTAAAAAAACATGACTGCCCAATTCACTCCACCAGAAATTTGGAAATAGCATGCTGTACTGTTTTGCATTCATGCCAAAATTTCCAATACTAACATTTCAGTGTGTCTGGGTTTCAATCTGAGGACAGTGTAGAGAATTCAGAAAGAGTTGGACAATATATTCAAGCAACATCATGGTGTTTGGAGTGATCACTAGTGATGGTGACGTTATGCCTCCATTCATCTTTTTACAGAGCCTCAGATTCAACACGGAGGATGACATCAAGTGCCTTGAAGAGGTAGTGCTGCCCTGGGTCAAAAGGGTGGCTGCTGGAACACCCTATATCTGGCAACTGGACTCTGCACCAAGCCACACAAGCATGAGCACTCAATCATATCTGTCAGACAATTTCTGCAGCCACATCATCCTTTACATCTGGCTCCCTAACTCACCAGACTGCAACCCCCCGTTCATGGGGCACAGTTGAATGAGACATAAAAAAACAACAAAACTCCTTGTAACACCAAAAATGAACTGAAGGCAAGGATTATGACAGCATTCACCAACAAGGAGAGTATCCAGAAGAGTTGCAGGAGATCCCAGAGTTGACTGAGGGGTGGTTGAAGCCAATTGCTATTTTATTGAATAAATTTATTCTTTAGTATTTCAAGATATTTTTGTATAATTTTGGTAAATATATCTGTTAAAATGAGATGTCAGTGTTATTTTCATTTTTGCATAATAAGGAAGGAAGATTATATATAAAAATAAAAATTTCACAAGAATGCATTCAATAATATACATTAGCAATCTGACTTTAATTTTCAAGTGCAAAAACAGTATAATATTATAAGCAATAATTACAGAGGGAAAATTACTAAATTTATTAATTTATCTGCTTACGTAAGTGCTTTAAAGTGTTTTCAAACCTCTTAATATCATCTTTTAAGATGCTATTGCAATATGGGACCAGGTGAAAGCCATATTCAAAATACTATACAAAAGCTGAGAAAAAAAAAAAAAAAAAAAAAAATGTGTGTATATATATATATATATATATATATATATAGTATGATACGTGTAATAATTGTTATATAATAAAAAGAATCATCCCTCCTATATCATGTGACAATGTTAAAAGCACATGGTTTATTTATGTTGGCAGCAAGGCAATACTTATTTATTTATCCATTGCACCCTGTATATATATATATATATATATATATATATATATATATATATATATATATATGTATGTATGTATACACACTACAATTCAAAAATGTGTGGAAACCCCTAGTAATTTTTAAATTTGCCCCAGAAGTAGTTGCTTTGTACTTTAAATAAGAGAAAATTATTATACATGGTTAAAAAAGTGAGACATGATTTTTTTATGAGAAATTTTATTATGACAAAAAAAAAAAGAAGCATTTTATGATTAAATTTTGCTCTCATCAAAATATCCTCCTTTAGCCTTGATTACTGCAGCACAAATATTTGGTATTTGTTTCAAAATTTTCTCGAAGTATAACTTTGATAATTGATTCCATTCTTTTTTCAATGACTCTAAGACTTCCTCTTTTTCACTTTTTTTCACTCTTCTGTCAGGTTCAACCCATGCTAATTCTGGGGGTGACTTCAACATATATATATATATATATAATTAATATATATATAATTAAAACATACATATTATGCAAATAGATAGATAGATAGATAGATAGATAGATAGATAGATAGATAGATATGAATTGGGATTAAATATTGATGATATATGATATCTGACAGACTGATTGGATAAGGAATAATTAGGAAATGTTTATGAATCTAGCTTGTTCAACATTATTGAAGCTTCATCAGAGAATGAGATATGGAGAAAAAGGAAGTAAGAGAAAAAATTCTAGTAATTTTTGATTTTTGTGTTGTTTGTTTTCATTGGTTAAGCAGACTTCATGTGTATTTTGTCTTGTAAAGTAACGTTCTTGTGTAAATTTATGTGTGTAAGTGTATCATGATTCTAGTTTGTCTATGTGCAATTTGGATTATAATGTATATTCGATGGTGTATGTGTGCGTGCATGTGTTTGTCTAGTATAGATATCGACAGTGTAGAATCAATATTGCATGGTGATTGTCAGGTTCACACTTTAATACCATCTTCAGATCATTTTTTAAATATATTAATTTTCCTTTATTGAAAATAGTTTTTTACAATATTTGTTCTCAGTTACCATATGCACACTCTCTCAGTCTGTTTGTCTGTCTGTCTCTGTCTCTCTAGATATATATGTGTGTGTGTGAGTGTGCTTATGTGCATGTGGACTGAAGATTGCCCTGAGCCATGAAACTGACACTCATTATGCAGTACTGATTCCTATGTCCACACTGTTTATAAATGTTCTTTCTCCAATACTGAGTAATCTTCCCCTATAAATAAAGCAAATTTTAAATATATATATATATATATATATATATATATATATATATATATATATATATATATATATGTCCCCTGCAATGATCTTGTGCCCCTCTGAATCTATGATACATACCCTTTCCTCTCTACTACATCTCAATTTTGATAAGTTAGTATTTATATAAAATACAGATTTTATTTTAACTTAATTATGTGCAATAATGGATCATATGCAATATAGATGAAAAATACAACTAGAAAAATTGAAAATAATTATAATATATCTAAATACAAATTAGAGATATGTGATAATAGATCATTCCATCTTAAATAAATTGACAATGTTTTGTGGCAATTTTTAACATCAACTTGAAATTTTTCTTGTTAAAATATTGAATAATTCTAGCACATTTAACATTATGGATGGAAAATAGTGAAGTTTATATAGTATTTTTTTAGACATAGCATGAACAAAACAAATTCACAGAATGATGTCAAAATCTGCAAAAGTTTTTCATCCTTTAACAATCAGTTGTGCTTAGTTTAATTTGTAATGTATGTAAATGTAGGTAAAAAAAATGGAAATGTTGATAAAAATAAATTGTCAAAAAAACTGCCCAGAGCCCCCAATTGGCATGAACCCATCAGGGGCTTTGAATCCTCATGCACCATTATATATATATATATATATATATATATATATATATATATGAATAAAAACTTTGATAAAACTTGAATTTTAAAACTGGTAATTGCTGATGCATTTCGTCCATGTGGACTTTTTCAAGCAAAATACGAAAATTTTGTTGATAAAAAACAAAAATTGCCAACTGTTTTCCTATTAGCATTCTTCAATATTCATAAATATTATCTTTTCTACTGATTAAATATATAAAATTTTCATATATATATATATATATATATATATATATATATATATATATATATATATATATATAAATAGAAAATGCAAACGTTTTTGGTTGTATATGTGTATTTTTTTTAAATATTATGCTTTATTTTCCATAAAAAATAATATTTAAAAAAAAAAAATAATTTCATAAAAACAACCAAAAAATCGTTCATAACATATATTTTCTTTTTTAATATACACACTTTTCTCTTTGTTGGAACTACTATAATTTATATATATATATATATATATATATATATATATATATATATATATATATATATATATATATATTGGGAGAGAGAGTGAGAGAGGGGTTTCATAGAAAGGTTTTCTCACTGACTATTATTCTTAATAAGATCTAATTTTTCATTTTGTGTGGTGACATGTACCATAATCAAAAAGTGAATTTGAAAATACTGGTTTTTCATATTTCATCTATGTCTGCATATGCAATGAGAAATTAAATATGTTTAGAAAGTAAATCCTTTTAGTTTTCACTATTTATAGTAAATAATAATATTTATTGACAAAACAGATTAATAACATTTAATTACATGCAGTATATGCATAAACAAATAGAATCTTACATATGTCAAAAGCATCTTACATACACTCAGATGCACAGACACACCTACATGCACAAACTCAGATAAACATTCTGCTGAGCAAAAAAAATTTAACAGCGCTGATTTTGGATAGGGACGTTCAACATTCAATGATATTGTTGCTGTATATATTTATTTAAGATTTACATCAGCTATTTCATGTTGAGATAATCAATTTCTTATGTGAGAATGAAGAGAGTAACATGTAAATATTCGGTTGGTGCATAATTATCGGGCGTTTTTTAAACACTATTTATTATGAAAAAAGAAACATAACAATTCAACAATAAATTTTTTAATGATTATTCTGGAGTGTATGAATATCAATGCACATTTCTATAACCTGAAAATAAAATATTTTTATCAAAAAAGTAAACAAAACAGCAATTTTTATTAACAAATAACTCGCCTACAAAATAATAAATCTAAAATTTTATTTTTTTTATTTTTTAAAAATGATGTTCACACTGTACAAGGCCCAAGAGCCACTTTAGGTAGAGGGTTACAGAGTAAGTGGCACAGTTTATAGAGATATCTGGGGAAGATAACAGCTAATCCTAGACTTGAACTGGTTAAGATTTTATTGATTGGAGAAGCATTTTCTTAGAAGCCAATTCCAGAAAGTAGCAGTTTGTGGGAAGAAACTGTTCAAGTGGGACATACATCTCACCAATGGAATATGAAGGGAATGAGGGTGATATTCTACAATGTGTTTGGCATGGCAAGTTTTAGCCACAATGGTTATAACTGGTAAAACTAAGGAATGTAGTTCATCTGGACACTTTCCATGGAAATAGCAATAGAGTAACAAGAGGCTTGCAAGGTTTAGATACATTGGTATACCCTACCTGTACCTGTAACAGCATTCACCCAGGGTGGGTTGAGCCAGCTTCAATATTGGAGTTTCATGGGAATTTGGAATTCACAAGCGGTCCCCAGCCTGCATGTATAGCACATGAGATTTGATTATATTGGTGGAGGTTTATACATGGGGACCATGCACACTTTTGAAGGGCAATATATTACAGAGACCTGGTACACTATATTATTACAAGGTCCCCAAATGGCCCTCCAGGGTTAATTCAGAGTTTTCCTTCTCCTAGACCAGTTGCCATCCAAGGCTATAGAACCCAGTCTGTCCTGCTATTTACCCATAGCTGGAGGGAGAAGAAGAGGATTCACACCTTTCCCAAGGGTATTAGCACGTAAGTGAATGTAATGGATTCGACTGGAATTCGAACTCGGCTCTCCAATTCCTCAATCCAAGCCACTATCCATTACTCCACCGTGCCTCCTACATTGGTATGTTAGATGACATATGAGAAATTTAAAATTTTTATTCTTTTATCAATGATTCATTCAGTAAGAACATCATAAGAAAAAATAAGGTAAAACTGTTACCATAACAATTTGGCTACTTAGAATTACTGTGGTTAATTTGAAAATGTTTTGAAAATTTAACACTTAATAAAATTAAAAATAAATATTTGTGAATAAAATAAATATCTTTGAAAAATATCAAAGACATTTGTACATAGCAAAATGAAAGATATAGTGATTTGATATAGGAGAATTAAAAAAAGTTATGGTAAGTAAATAAATTGCTTACATCTAAAGAAAATAGTGAATACATATAATTCTAATTATAATTTATGATGATTTTATTTAGGTGCTTAGTGCAGTAAAGAATTAAAATAAAAATTTATAAAAAAGTTTTATTAAGGTGTTTAACCAGTTTTATTATTATTTAATTTAAGTATTATCTTAGCCTGAAAAGTTGATATGCTATAAAAAAAACAACTTTTTGATTAATCGAATTGAATCATGCTATCATAGCTGATTCAATCAATCTTCTAGATGATTTATAATGAATAAATTTGACCATTTTGACATTTTTTAAATCGAAAGGATGGTTCATATGTTGAATATAGGAGAATTTATTCATCCTTGATTTTATAACTCTTTACATTATACATATGTAAACTAACAAACATGTTTGCATTGATTATTTTACATATATATATATATATATATGAATAAAAAGTGACAAGAGGCAAAACTATTCTTAGCTGACATAATTAATCCTCTGTGGGACTTTATCAAGGCAATAGAGGATTTATTTTGCTGAACATGTTTATATACAGAGGAGGGGATATCATTGGTTTATAAAGACATTTGAATTTGAGAATGTTCATGAATATTCGCATGTGAAGGACTCAAAGTGTTATAATTCAAAGTCTGGCAAAAAGTAAAGTAAGCAAGTAATATTCAAGAGATTTTTAAAAATTTATACATATATATATATATATATATATATATGTATAAAATTAAAAAAAATTTTTTTTAAATTATTATATATATAGACTAGCAGTAGAGCCCGGAGTTGCCCGGGGATGTAACAGTAAGATAAAGACTGAAAAATAAAATTGATAAAGATTATTGTTTAAGGTTGACGGACACGCATGTCTTAATTAGTTTTCTTTTTTTTTTCTTTTTTTTTTTTACGAATTGGTCAAATCTAAACTCAAACGAAAACATTGTTTTCAATCGTGATGAGTCTATCGATTGAATAGAATTTTATTATAAACAATTGTCTTGTAAATGGAATTTTTAAAGCATTCTGAATGTAAAAATGAAAGAAAAAGTGTGCAAGACAATAAGAAACACTACCTGCCAAAAAAAAAAATGAAAGTTTTTTGAAATCAGTTGAAAAAAATGTGGGAAATCCGATCCCATATATAAACGAACACACACACAAACACAAACAACCTGGGTTTTATAAGTATAACTCGATATGAGTTGTCCCCCTTTCATTCTGGCGACAGAATCGTGTTTTCAAATTGATTTCGTGCAAAAACAATTGTGTTTTTCCAATTTTTGGCGTTGTCAGAACCACCTCAAGGTAATTTTACGCAGTCTTGTGAAGTTTTGTTGAAATCTGTTGAAAAATGTAGGAAATCCAATCCAATATATAAACGTACACACACACACACACACACACACAATCTGTGTTTTATAATAAGTAAGATATATATATATAAAATTATAAATATATATATATTTATATATATATATATAAAATTATAAATATATATATATATATATATATATATATATATATATATATATATGTATAAAATTATAAATATATATATTATATATATATATATATATATATATATATATATATATATATATATATATATGTATAAAATTTAAATATATATATATATATATACTAGCAGTATGGACCAGCGTTGCCCATGCTTGATTCAAAAATCATACGACTCATACAGCAATCGCTATCACTTGACTTAAAATATTTTTGCCCTTCCTTGCCATTAAAGGAGCACCCTTTGCCGTGCTGATGTTGCTACATGCTTTACTTCTTGCTTATTTCACACTGCAAATTTTTCTAAGCTCTATATTAAACATTAAATCTGTTACGAAAAAAGAACTAAACAAAATGAACACAAAACAATCAGCTTTAAAAAAGGACTCATAACTGGAAAAACCGAATGAAAAAAGAATGTTAACAACAAATCCTTTTTCACACACAACCCAGTTCTGCGGAATCAGAATCAACATTCAGTTTAAGCAAGCGAATGAGCCAATTGGAGTAAAGTGATATGCAGATTTAAATTTTTCTCACTTGTGACGAATGCAGCTATAGTTTTTTTTGCATGCTAGCATGTTAATTAACATTCGTGTCAGTCAGCTGTTGGCTCTCACGCTGGCCAATAGAATCTTCCTGCCTATTTGTGGCAGCCAGCTATAGGCTCTCACTCTGGCCAGTAGAAAATGGCTGCAAACTACATGAAAACTGCTGTAGAAGCATGAAAAAATCGATTATTTCCACTATTGATGGAAGTTGGGAAATGCAAAGTCGGTCTTGGCCTTTCCGCTAACTTATAGCATGTGCATGTAAATTTTGGTGCAAATCCGTCAAAAATTGCGGCCGTGCATTCATTACACACACACACACACACACACACATTACACACACACATATCCTATATTTTTTATATATATATATATATATATATATATATATATATACTTCAACGTGATGTATTGTTTAGCAAGCTTGTCCCACTAGATCAATTATGACTGAGTAGTTGAGTTAGATCTTCACTGAGTGCTCTATAATTTGGGCCTTGTGCCACATATAAACTATGCTTAGTAAATCACTATACATATATATATATATATATATATATATATATATATATATATACATGGTTCTGTCTGAATTTATTGGATAAGGTATTATGATTACTTATATGATTTACATTAGGATTAATGTCTTCATCTTCTTTGTTATTATCATGTTTCAGTTGTAGTACTCTTTAACCTTCTTCAGGTGTCAGTCAATCCAGGTAACCTTGAGACTGTTCTCATTCCTCTGTTTATGTACAGTGATATCTTTTTTTAGTAATTAATTTTATTGCACAAGCACCCTAGTGACAGGTATGAATCCATCTTCTCCCACCAGCTATCCAGATAGTGTCCAGATGAACTATCCAGATGAACTATCCAGATGAACTACCACCAGTAGGAGTCATATCTGGAAAAATTATTGTTACTCTCAAATATCTTGTTAATGCAATACACACTTGCAAAAAATAAAATTATGTTTACATTAAAAAAAATATGCTTCAGCTATAAATAACCTACAAAGGTTGATCACTCAGTTATTGTGAACCCTGTTTGTACTAAATCTGAGTTTGTCCTACCCAGCCCAGGGAGTGAACTCACAATTACTATGCCACCAAGTTCACAAATGAACACTTTAATGCTCTAGGCTATAGTCTTGTGACAGGGTTAGCAATAACTTAGCTGTACTAAAACATGAAATATCCCCAGACATGGACAGTAGAAAGAGAACAATCTATTCCTGTAGATTAAATGAAAGACTGTGCTTGAAATTCCATGAAGGTTACCTGGATCAAGCAAAAGCTGAAGAAAGCTGCAAGGAATGACAGGTGGAGAGAACT